GGGTCGACGTCTTTTGGCAGGACTGGTTAAGGTGGGGGTTCCTGTACCTCTTTCCCCCGGTTCAGCTATTGCTCCAGGTCCTGACTCGCTTGGAAACTTATGGCAGGAAGGGTTGTCCTTTTGGCCCCTTGGTGGCCGGCCCAGCCGTGGTTTCAGGCGCTGCTTACAATGTGTCTGAACTAAGAGGGTTTTTCTGCGGCTCCGCCTCTTCCAGCAGATCGGACCAGTACGTCACGTTGATGGTTCGATCTTCTCCTCGAGTCTTCACATATGGTATTTTTGACTCGAGTTTATCATCATCTCTATGGTGATGAGGTGGCTTCCTTATTAGTGTCCCACCTGAGGACTTCATTTCAGTGGCACTATGAAGTTTCCTGGCGGTCCTTCTGGTTCTTCTTACGTCTTCGTCGTTGTACTTCGCTTTCTGTTAGGGTGGTGTTGTCCTTTCTCTCTTGGTTGTTCCAGGACCGTCTCCTTATGTCTAACACTGTCGCCTCGTATCGTGCGGCGCTGGCGGAGTCGCTTCAGCTTGCTTTCGGTATTGATGTCACGTCTGAGCCGTTTCGCATGCTGTCTCGGGCATTGTTTCACCTCCAGCCTGCTCATGCGCCGCGTGAGCCATCCTGGTCTTTGGACAGAGTGCTCTCTTTTCTTTCTTCTCCTCATTTTGTTGTGGCCCCTTCTGTTCCAGATTGTTTTTCGAAGGTTCTTTTCCTGTTGGCGTTGGCCTCTGGGGGTCGAGTTGGTGAGCTTCATGCTCTCCTCCGACGCAGAGGTTTCTGCTCCTTCGGTTGGGGAGATCGGTTTGTTCGTTTGCAGCCTTCTTCTTTTCTGGTGAAGAATGAGACTGCTGCTTTCCAGAGGGGTTCCTGGGTTGTTGATGCTTGGTTGGTTAGGCCTGGGGTGCATCATGTTTTATGTCCGGTTGCGGCTCTCCGCCGTTATTTGCACTCCACGGCTTCTGTATCCGTGGACGCGCTTTGGGTTGATCCAGTTTCTCTTCTTCCCTGTTCGAGGGTGCATGTCTCCCAGGTTGTCTGCTGGGTTATTAAGGCTAGCCAGCCTGTGGTCTATCCTCGTGCCCATGATGTCCGCAAGTTCGCGGCTCTTGCCACCGTTTTTGACATTTTGTCCTAGGCTGACATTCGGTCGCGGGGATTTTGGCGGTCAAACAGGCTCCTGGCTGCTCGTTACCTTGTAAACGTTCCTGGGCCCAGTCGGGCCTGTGTCGGTCACTTTGGGTCGGCGGATGCGGCCAGTTGTCTTAACTTCGGGTTGAGGAGTGAGCAGCAACTGCCTCCCAGGTAAGTCCCTATTCTTTTCTTCTGTGAGTAGTTAGCTCTGGGGCGTCGTAGAGGCTTCCCCCAGAAAACCAGGGTTGAATGAAATGAAACGCCATTTTCTGGGTGAGTCCCGGAGGCTTCCCGGCATCCCTCTCTCCCTCTGGTCGGCGTTTTTTTTCGCGCATTTTGACATTCAGCATCAGAATTGGGGTGTGGATCACCGGTGCGGTGGATCTGGGGCTACCCCTTCCCTCTCCCAGGGAGGGGGGAGCAGCGCAGACAGCGGCGCGACGACGGGTGACGTCATACTAGTTTGCTCGTTTTTGTTTGGGGAGTTCTATCCACCCGTTCGGCTTTTGGTTGCAATTTTCACCAAAATTGGGGTTTGTTTTGGAACGCCTACCTTTCTGGGTGCCTAATCCAGTCGATGGCAGACATAGAATGCTTCCAATCACATGGGGGTTTCTATAGGCCATTGCTCCCCTTGCCTCTCTAGAGGGCCCAGGTTCTGGCTCGTGGTCCCCGGTAGACCCATAAGAACTCCATACACGTGACTGATGCCAAAGTCTGACATTAGCATATCAGCCTAGTAAGCTCCGGGGAGCCTCCTGGACTCACCCAGAAAATGGCATTTCATTACATTCAACGCTGGTTTTTTCGTCCACTTCAGTGTTTTCCACACACACTCGACAGTGCCCACCATCATGTCAGATTTATCAACCAAATGCATGTTGATATTATAGTCAAGAACACAATCTGGCTTATATACTGGTTCTTGCTTTACTCGGTTCACCTTGCCACTGTTCACCATTGTACCATCATGAACGGTTGTCAGCATGTTCACTTCTCTCTTGTCTTTCCACCTAACTGAGAGTATTTGATCACATCCTTTTAGCTTGCAGTCACCAACTTCAAGTTTATTGTCAAACATTGGCATTTCTCTTCTACTTGGCTTTATTGTGTCGGCCAATCCAGTTCTATTTTCAATCAGGAACCTAGCTAGCAAGGGACTTGTATAGTAGTTATCTGAGTACAAAATGTGACCCTTGTTCATCCATGGTGCCATCAGTGACTTCACCACATTACCTGAGAAACCATGTTCGTCGTTACCGGGAATGTCTACATTGCTAGCAGAATACAGAATCATGTGTAACACGTATCCTTTTTCAGTCACAAAGAACAAAGAATTTCAACACGTTCTTTGAAAAGCACAAGGGATTCGTCAATCACCAGCTTCTGTGCTGGTACGTAGAAATCTCTGTACTTTCCAATCACTCCATTCATATAGTGCCTGACTCTCCAAAGTCTATCATCCTCTGTCCGGTCCTCATTACTTGCAAAATGTAGACACCTGAGGAGTATCTGAAACCTGTCTCGGGACATATATTTCCCGAAGAAAGGTGTTGGAACAGTCTGGGCTTTGCTCCAATAATCAGTGATAGCGTGTTTGACACAATGCTTCATCAACATACATATTGCTAAAAATACATACATTTCACCTACAATTGTGTTTTTCCAGCGCTGCAATCATGAATATTCTGTTACCTCTTTTCCAATGAGATGAGCCGCATGAAGGTTCGTTTGGTGTACAATATATTCCATCAGCAGCTCATCATAAAATGCTGTAAAATATTCCATTTCACACATGTCCTCACCACTATTCAGGAAAAGGTCTGTAATCCCAACACATTATTGTCACAAGCAGGAATTAGAGGAATAAAAATCGTCACCATCGCTCCACACAAGTACACCTGGTGTCCTGCGAGACACAAACGCGGCACGACGGCGAGGAAGCATTGCAGACCATGGACCAGGAGCTGAAGCCCATCTACGCAAATTACGGTCCCTACGTTAACGTGAGGTGAAATCACGTGAACATAAGGGTCTTGGTTCCTCATGTGGTGCCATGCGGTGGTGCTTGGCTGGGCGAGATGCTGCCGACGTGACAAATTCTCGCCCAGTAACACCACTGGTACTGGCAACAGAGGCGATAACACTATGCTCTGAATCCACTTCACTAAATCCAGAAAATGAATCACCTTCCTCTGACTCATCGCCCAAAATATCCTCATACTCTAAATAAGCACAGGAACTGTGTGGTCGTGGGTGGATTGGAGTAGACACTGGGCGAGAGTGTGGCATGGGTGAGCATGTAGGCCTCGCCATGGGAGGAGGCTGTATCTCATTTTCACTGTCTGTGCTACTATCATCTGTCCATTGTGTGTAGTCCTTATCATTGTCAGAGTCATTAAAATCACTTTCCTCACCATCAGAAAATAATTCACTAGTTATTTGCTCTTGGGTAAGTGATTGCGTGGTGCGTGCCCGGGAGGCGTTCGGCTGTGTGCACGCCATGGTGACTGTTGGGTAACTGGGGCCTCCCATGTGTTGGTAGCGTGAGCTGGATTTTTTTACAAAATGGCGGCTGTTTACTATAGCCCCTGGGCAGCGTATGGGGGGACCCCCCTACCCCACTGGCCATTCACATCTTGTGCGGTACTCCATCACGTCATATGACGTGATGCGCAATTTAACGGTTAAGTCTAGACAGCCTGCAGTCTACCCTCACACCCATGATGTTTGAAAGTATGCCACCCTTTCGGCTGTCGTTGATAATATGTCTTGGGAAAATATTTAGGTGCGAGGGGTTTTGGAGGTCAAACAGGGTCCTGGCAACCAGGTATCTCATAAACATTCCAGTTCCTCTGCGGCATTGTGTGGGCTAGGGGTACCCGTCACAGCTGTCTGTCTCTTCCTCGTTTTGAGACCTGTGGTGCGGCTGCCTTCCTGGGTAAGTCCCCGTTTGCCATCTCTGTGGGTAGTTAGCTTCACAGAGCTGACGGGGCTCCCCACAGAAAACCAGCGTTGTATGTACTGAATTGCCTGTTTCTGGGTGAGCCCCGGAGTCTCCCTGACACTCTCCCTCCCTTTAGTCGGCAGCTCTCATCATTTCAGAATTGAAGTGGTACATTGCCGGCTCACCGGGGCTGGCTCCCCCTTCACCCCGTGGAGGGGAGAAGTGCTAATGAGCATGGGGGCTAGTTGAATGAATTGTTACTTGCTTGTTTACTTTATGGGGAAGCTCTTTTGCTATTTTCAGAACGTAGCTCACAATTTTCAACCAGACAGTTGTCTGTTTTGATTCACCTACCTTTCTGGATCCTTCCCCAGTTGATGGCAAATATGACATACTTTATATGTAAAGTGCTCATTGGCCATTGCTCCCTGCACCTCTCTGAGGAAGCCAGGTTCTGGCTCATGGTCCCCGGTAGGGGACCATGAGCCAGACTTATCTCAGAGTCAGACTTATCTCAGAGTCTCAGAGATAAGACGTATCTCAGAGTCTTATCCCGGACTCACCCAGAGTCTTATCCCGGACTCTGGGTGAGTCCGGGATAAGACATTGTGTCTTATCCCGGTAGGGATAAGAACTGTGACTGATAACCCCAACTAATATAGCACTATATCAGTTCAGATAGCTCCAGGGAGCCTCCGGGGCTTACCCAGAAACCAGCGTTTCATTACATTCAACGCTGCTTTTTTTGCAACCTGACTTTTCATAAACACCAGGCACAGTTAAAAGCAATTTTCAATAATAGTAAACACTGTTATTCTATAACAAGTTTAGCAGAATGTACACAAGATAAATCATCATTTTTACAGAAGAAAAGAAACACCCTTAAATATTTTCAAAGCTTCTACAGTATCAACTCATACCTCAGCTGATCCAGTGAGGTTAACAGGAACATCAATGAGGTCCACGAGCTGGAGAAGGTGGTCAAGGTGTGGAAACTCCATGGACTTCAAGTTGTTGAGCAAGGCTACAGGAACCATCATTACTTTGTGCTCCATGCCCTTACTGAAGCGGTCCAGTATATTCCTCCACTCATGCATGGCCTCCACAAGACCTGGCTCACTTGTGAACTGATCAGAGAAATACTTTACACTGAAATGCTGGAACAACTTTGTATCAAAGAACATACATTACAGTTGTAAGACTTACAACTGCAGTCTTACAAGTCTTACAATATAACTCTTACGCATTATCCTGTTGAAACTAATTGCAATGACTGATCAGTACATAATAATTTAAACAAATACAGTACTGTACTTTACTCTGCATGTACCTTCTGGTACATGAATGTGACTAGCTTAGTTTGCTAAAAACCTTTATGGAAGAACAGCAATCTTAAACTATGTCAATGTTATCATTTTATTTCATTTGGAACTCTCACTGCATGTAGAATGTTATCTTGAGGTTATCTTGAGATGATTTCAGGGCTTTAGTGTCCCCGCGGCCCGGTCCTCGACCAGGCCTCCACCCCCAGGAAGCAGCCCGTGACAGCTGACTAACACCCAGGTACCTATTTTACTGCTAGGTAACAGGGGCATAGGGTGAAAGAAACTCTGCCCATTGTTTCTCGCCGGCATCCGGGATCGAACCCGGGACCACAGGATCACAAGTCCAGCGTGCTGTCCGCTCAGCCGACCGGCTCCCGGCTGTTCCTCAGTTATTTTAAATATTTTAAGGTGTAAAAATGATGGTCCAAAGAGCATGTGAATATTGTTAAAAACTAATGCTAAATATAATGAAACATCAATTTCTGAGGAAGCCCTGATTGCTCCTTGAAGCTATATGCTGAGATAGATACCATCTACTAGGTCAAACTAGCCATACAGTTCTAGAGGTCTACAAGGACCAGAGCCAGAACTCAGCCCACCTCACAGAGGTGCAGGCAGAAGTAACATTTATTTTTGCCACCTAACTGGGGAAGGTAACTAGAAAGTCAGCAAGCCAAGCGAACTATTGCTGGATTCAAGAGAGACCGAAGCCAAATGAATTCTACCCATCTATGTAAACAAATGATATTCTTCTCTCGGAACTAGAGCGAGATCGTTCGCTCCACCTTCCCCACTTGTTTACACCACCAGCCAGCATCACCAAACTAAGTTTTAGGGTAGATGTAGGCATCCACCCAACTGAAAAGGAGGAAGGGAAGAGGATCAGGGACCCTCTGGGGCTCACCCAGAAACTGGCATTTCATTACATTCAACACTAGTTTTCTAGCAAGAACCTCATTTGTGGCTCCCAAAAGCTAAATACCCACAGAGAAGGAAGAAAATGTGGGAACCTGCCGGGAGGAGGGAGCACTGTACGAATCAGGATAAGAACGAGACTCCCACCAAGAGACACGACTCACGAACATACAAATGCACCGAGGTTCGGAAATATTCACCAAACACTGGGACATCAGAACCATTTTCTGGAGGGAGCCCCGTCGGCTCCCTGGAGCTATCCAGGCTGATATGGATATGTATAACTTTCTGGCATCAGTGAATGTGCATGAACTTCTTGCCTACCGGGGACCACGGCCAGAACCTGGCCCCTCTCAGAGAGGCACGAGGAACATTGGCCATTGGCTCCCAACCCCTGTGTGGTTGGGAGCATTCTATGTCTGCCATCAAACGGGTCTGGCACCCAGAAAGGTAAGCACCCCCGTGAGTGGACATGTCCCAGGGGTTCAGCTTTAGAAGTTTGCTTGGTAGTTTTGGGCGCCGTTTCACAGAACCCTGCCTGGGCCTCCCTTAATGTGCAGCCTGTCCTCCAAACAAAGATCCAAAAGTGATTCCATGCACCCGCCAAACCCCCTGTTTATGAATGAAAAGCGGTTTACACACGACTCACAACTGCTGACGTTCGAACATATCCAGAACAAGTGTTTCACTGATGAATTTTGTTTGAATCACAACGCTATAAATGCTTCACCCATGTACTACAAATACAAATAATCGCCAACAGAACCTAAACACCTAACCTAACCTAACCTATGCCTATATATGCACAATATGGTAATAAATTATAATATTTATTTATACTTGAGAAAATTCCCGTTTTGAATGAACAGCATGTTAAAATTTATGAATGCGCCTGTGGGGTCGACCGCTGGATGTAATGGACTTGAGTCGAGGACGGGTTGTAGTGTGTTACTAAGGCTAAGGGCCCTGGAAAACCACGCAGGGGCTCTGTGGTCCGATGGATGTGACTCTTGAGTTCCCTCTTCGCTTTGTGTGAGATTGGTGATTGCTCTGTCCCCTTGTCTCAGAATGACATTCACTGGCTGTGCCTCTACCATACTGCCTGTAGGGTCGGTGATTCTTTTGACCCGAAGTCATGCGACGTTTGTTGTTGGTACATGCTCCAGTTAACCCTCACAACTGATCATGTTCTGAGGGTGCAGGCAGCAGCTGCATTGCATGCTAGATTCTGGTTGGTGCAACTCACTGGGTTGGTTGCTTCCCCGGATGCTCCACAACTGCCTCATTTTGGTTTTAGGGACCCGGACTTGTGGGTGGGAGTTGCTTCAACTTTGGTACCTTCCTCCCTTCCTCTCCCTTCTGTTGTGCGTCCAGTCCCCCTCCCCCTTCTGCTTCCGGCTCCGACCCATCAGTGGGTTCGAGTCAGCACAGGATCTAGATGGTGTCGAGACTCTGGTGGTTTCGGGGGTGTCCTCTCCCAGGTTGGCGGCGGAGGCATTCTAGCTTGTTTCTCCTGCCAATGCATATGGGTCTGACCAGTGGTCTATGGTTTGGGCCAGTGGTCTATGGTTTGGGCCAGTGGTGCGGTATTCGTGCCTTCAGTTCTGTTCAGCGGGGGGATCGCCCTTCGTGCAGTTAGGGTACTCGTAGGTGCATTAGTTCTTTCGTGGGCCTCTTCTCCTGTGCTCTGTCGGATTTTTGTCAGTGTGGTTCATTTGGGTGTGGTCGATATGACCTCGTTCCCCCAGTGGGTTCCCACCTGTTCAAGTCCTGACACGGGACTGTGCGGACCTCCATTCATTCTGGACTTGTCCCATCTGGTTCGTGGGTTTTTGCCCCTCCTTCGGATGGCTACACTGTCCCATGTTCATCTTCGGTTGGAGCCGGATGCTTGGGTGGTGTCCTTGGACTTCTCGGACGCGTCTTGGTGCATCTTGGGTTCATCCTCGGTTCAGGGACTGGTTCAGTTTTGTTGTGGGGCGTCAGGGTTACCGTTTTCTTTGTCTTCCGTTCACTTTGTATCTGGCGCCTCGCGTTTTCACACGCCTTACTCGGGTCGTGGTGGCTAGCTTGCATCTGTTAGGCGTTCAGGTTCTGACCTACCTGAGTCTGGTCCTGTCTTATTATCAGGTTTGGTCTTAGCTGGGTCTTGTGTGGGGACACTCGGACCACTTCCTTGTCTCTTCTTCCAGCAGATCTGCTTTGCCTGCATTCTCGCCTTCGTCATTCCTGAGGGGCTCCTGGGTCACACGACGGTTGTTCGAGGGTTGTGCGAAAGCCTGATCTTCGCCATGATGGTCTACCCACCGGGTCAGGTGTGATTTGTCGGCTATTCGGGTTCCGTCGGGGACGTCCCTTCTGCCTCTCGCGACTGCTGGGTTCGGTCTCCGGGGACTTTGCTGCGTTGCTGGCTTCCTCTTTAAATTTCAGGGTTAAGTGGTTAGGCGCTTAGGAGGGGTGATGGAGTCTATCCTTCCGTCAGGCTCACTGCACAGTGTGGGAGTTCGCGGCTGTGTGGATGTCACTCCGTAGGATTCCGGTTGCTCACAGATCAACAATCCGGCTCCAGCTGGATTGCTCCCCAGTGATTCTTTCCCAGCATTGTGGGGATTTGATGCAGTACTTGGCTTGGGGCTGGTTGCTTCGGGTGACTCGTCTGCTGAATTTTTGGGGTTTGGCTCTCCTGGCAGTTCACATTTGGGAGGTGTTCATGGTCCTGGTGGACGGCCTGTCCCGCTTCCTTCCCTTCCACATTGTGGACGGTCTACTTCGCGTCAGCATGGTTGTAACATCTCACGGTACTTGTGGCGCCCTTCCCCGACTGTGAAGAAGTTGGGGTCGATGCCTTCAATTAGGACTGGGCTAGGTAGGGTTCCCTGTTTATCTTCCCTCCAGTCCTGCTGTTGTTCCTGGTCCTGGCTTGCTTGGGGACTTCCCAGGGAAGAGTTGTTCTTCTGGTGCCTTGGTGGCCGGCCCAGCATTGGTTTCAGGCGCAGGCTGGGCCTGAAAGTGCTGGCTTGGTGTCCGAACCCAAAGGTCTTCCCGCGGCTCCGCCTCTTTCAGCGGGTAGGTCCAGCCTGTTCTGAGGCTGGACTGTTCTTCTTGAGTCTTCGCGTTTGGAGTTTCTGACGCGTGTCTATCACCACTTGTCTTGTCTTGAGGGTTTAGTGAAAGACTTGCGCAAGGATAAGAATCAATTGGAAACAAATTGCAAAGCCATGGAAGAAGAAAATAAACTCTTAAAAATAGCTTTGGAAGAAGTTAAAGTAAATTTAAACATAAATGACTACAATAGGTTAGGCAAGGAAATTCAACAGGAGAAACAGCTTTTGTCAGCACAGATGGAGGAAGTTACACAGGGAATAGAACAGTGCAAGAAAGATATGCAACTCACTTATGCACAAGTGGCCAAGGAGAAGGAAAAAATAGAAGAAGCAGTAAAGGAAGTCAAACACTGCAGCAACCAAGATAAAACAAACATTAGGCTAGAAGTGAGGAAAGAATTGGCATCTAACCCGAAGTTGGTGCAAAACACAGTTGATCGGAGTAAGTCCCTGATCATTTTTGGCTGCAAAGAAAAGGCGATAACATCTAGGTCAGAAAGAGCTGTAGAAGAAGCTAAAGTAGTAGATAAAATTGTTGGCCTCGTGGAAGGTCTTACAAACAGAGAGAATGTGTGCGACTACAGGAGAATAGGCAGGTACGTAAAAGGGAAAGATCGACCTTTGAGGATCACCCTAAACGGTGCCAAACAGATGGAAGAAGTACTAAGGAATGCTAGAAAATTGCAAAGGGATGAGGATGGGAAAGGGTGGTCGTTAAGACGAGATCTTTCAAAAGAAGACAGAGAGAAGCTGAAACTGAACCTCGCCGAGGCAAAACATTTA